AATCCTAGTGTGTTAGAGTTCACAAGGGTCTCAAATGGATCCCGAGCAGTGCTTACACTAGAGAGGTCAATAGAGAGAGTTTTGGTGGCCTTGGCTTTCAGCCGGCCAAGAGTGATAGATTCAAAATAGTGTAGGTAACAAATGAGAGTGAGAGAACAATGATCAAATGATAGAACTTGAAGAGGTGCACTTATATTTTATAAGCAGACATGACAGGGGTAATTAAACAAAGAACATTCAAGCAAAAAGAATCAACATAACTCAAAGGACATGTTGATATCACAAGTTCAAACGCTTAGAAGATTGGACAGAAAATATTTTTGTAGAAAGCAGGGGAATCAGGTTTTCTGAGATTACTAACATACAAAGGCACACAATGCCAAACACTAACTTAAAGGAGTTAAAACCTAGGGGTTCAAATTATGTTAGGCATACATCACAATATCAGAAAGACAGACATGCTAACTTACATTATGAGAAAAAATAGTACCAAACATTGTAAGGAGACACAAACTAAGATAGCTACTCTAAAAGTCCCAACTAATCGCTAAAGATATAGTATTAAGCAGACCAAAGACATAGTGAGTGACAAAATAGCATGGGAGTAGGTGTCACGACCCAAAAATATCACTGTCTCAAAATAAACAACCAAGCATCCTAATATCAAACCAGCAATCGACAACTTATCAATTAACCAAAACAAGTCTCCACCATTACTAATCAACCCACTAACAACCAGAAATACTAATTGATCTCTAATTTCGATAAGAAAGTGCAATACTCATCATAAGTCTATAATAACAAAAGGATACTCATGACGCTAAAAGAATGACTATGGAGCGACTCTAAGAGTTCAAAGAAAAGACTATAATAATAAATAAAATCTCTGCCCACACGAACAAGTGCGAGGCTCACCAAGAACTATCAACCTGTGCGCTCTAATTAAAGAAATCCTCGCCCGCGTTAATTGTTGTCTCTGTTAAAAAACATTAGCGAGGAATGAGTCGCTAACTCAGTGAGTAATAATACTTAACCACAACCATTTTTAATGGGGACAAGTCAGAAAACATGCTAGTATATCAAACAGAAAATAACATGAGAATGCCCTTTTAGAAACAATAAATAATTTTCAGTCTCATCATGTTTTTCTTCTAGTATAATGCAATTAACAATTCAATAATAAGCTCGGTAACCACTGTATAATATAAATATTCACATTTGGGAGGTTTCAATGAACGTATCATGTAATCAGTATAACTGTGGACTTCTTCGCAAGAAGTCAAATATAACGGTAGTCCCTACTCGAGGAAAATCGGTAACGGTATGCTAGTTCTACCTTCCCACTAGCGAGGGTTGTAACGGTAATCGATAATTACAAGGTACACCGGGTCTAATAAACCCGTTGTTAGCTATGGGATCCTTCAATGTCTACTCTACGGGATCCTTCAATGTCTACTCCCATTTATACTTGTCTCTGTAATCCGTATATACTCGTAGAAAATATTTTAAAATAATATAGGGTATTTTGGTTCTTATCAAATCATATAATTTTATTTCGATAACAGTAAATTCATGTAACGGTAAAACAGATCTAGTGACAACAAAAATATTTAAAACCGCGGTAATCATCTCAAATAACTGTTTCGGTATCATATCGAGTAAAAAACGTGTCCCACATGCAACTCAAAATAATCGGTAATATATTCATATTAAAAATTATGTGTAAATCATGCAAGTTATGAAAACACAAATTGCGGTAAGATTACTACTCACAGTACTCGTGCCAAAATACCAAATGCTTCACCTCGAGCAATTCGTACAAATTCGTACAAATTCCTCCAATCAATGTATAATTACATAATACCGATCTCATGTTAATTGCCTTATTTAGGCTAAATCCATCACTAATTTAGAATACCCAATCCTCCAAGTTTTATATTTTATCATCAATTCGCCGAATTATATTTACTCATACTATGAGTAATTTAAATTAGTCCAAAATATTTTAAATAAAAAGGTATTTATATGGTTTATTCCCCGTACTGTTCAATTTCCTTAATCGTGTGCATAAATTAAAACTGAAATAAAATTATTATCCATAATATTCCTTCTTAATTGGTACTTATCTTTTGTGCTCAATACTAGACTTACCACATTCAAACTCAATTCGATATTGTCATTGCAATACAGTTAAACACCAAAACTCAATCCTTGTACCCTAACTTAATTTACACCTAACAAAGATCATATATAATGAGACTAGTTTAAGTACAAATACATCAATACCCTTCTTTTTCCAAGTGAATTTATCCTACAGAAACTTTGACCAACTTCCAATTGCATAATTTGCCCAGAATAACTCTTATTGATATTAAATTTCGTATACCTTGTGAAACCCTTTAAATATATAAAATGAGACAAAAGAATTACCAGAAGAAAAAAAGACAGATGAGAAATTTGAGTATTACCCGTAAAAATTAGTGCGTATTTAAAATTTCTCAAGGTTTGGTTCCAGCCTTTTTCTTCTTCTTCTTCTCCTTTTGAATATTTTTTTTTCGGCGTTTTTGAAGCTTCTGCTTCGGCGTAGCAGCCAGCCCCCCTTTTGCCCCCCCCCCTTTTTTTTGGCAAATGGGCTTCGGCCCTTTTGCTTTACTCTTTTTTTTATTTTTATTTGTTTTTTTTGTTTTTTTTATAGTTAGTTTCTTCTTCTTATTATTATTATTATTATTATTATTATGCTAATGACCAATACACCCTTATAAAAAAAATAGGGTATTACAGCAGGTCTCAGCATAGATTAGAGTATATTCTATTACAAGAATTCAGAACAAAGTAGGGAAGCCACTTATGCCAGGCAGTAAAGGTAAATACTCAGATACTAACATACGAGCTTAAGAGAGTCCAAATTGTTCCAGTTAAAAATGTACAAATAACATATCTAAGAACTAAAAATTTCAAGTAAAATCAAATACTAAAGAAGTTCATATCATAAACAAGTTCAATTCTGACAAGTTTGCACACACAGACAACCCATAAACATATTAGATCATGGAATTTCAAAGCTGTGAGTACACAAGACATGAACACAGAAGAACGAAATCGTAAAAAAATAAAGCCAAGAGACTTACCAGTTACCGGTTGAATAAACAGACAACAAGAAAGAACAAACTCCACGGTACTCTGAATACCAACAAAGAACAATAACCCACAATCTTAATGCATCAGAGTTCCCAAGGGCTTCAGATGAACCCCGCACACTGCTCGCACCAAGAAAAGTTGAAAAATCGAATTCCGGTGGCCTTGGCTTTCAGCCGGCCAATAACCAAAGTATAGAACATGAGAATGATAGAACAATAACTTCAATTTTTAGTGAATCTTCTGATTTTCGTCCCCTTGAAAGGGGAATGGGGAGGGATTTATAGAGTGGTTAAATCAGATGAGTAAATAGGGAAAGAAGTCAATCAAACATACACAAGGAAAGGAAAAATATACATGCAATCATAAAGCGGCCAGTAAAGGAAAGAAACCGAAAATCACACCCTAATTAGGGTTCAACGTTTGAAAATCCGTCTACTAGTATGAGAAATCAGCTATTCTTCCGTGTATATAGACGAGATATTGTCCATATCTTAGCGATTGAAGTTTAATGGGCCCGAATCTGAGAGATGGTACTTGCCAAGTTTAAGCAAGTACTAAGTGACACCATAGTCTTGCAAGTAATATTGAGGTAACACGTAAAAGGTAAGAAAATCACAGAAGGAATCCATGATTGAGACGGATTCGGAGAAGATTGAGGGGGCGGCTAGGGTTTTTGAAAGAGGGAGGACTGTTTAGAGGCTGCTGATGAAGGAAAATGGGGATTAGGGTTTGGGTGATGGTATATAAGGAGAGTGGGGATTTTAATTCGGATCGTTGATTATTTGAGATCAACGGCCAAGATTAAGAGTAAGGTGGGGCGGGTCATTATAAACGGGTTGTGCCCGGATTTTTAAAGGGTCGTTTGGGCTGCTGAGGTTATTGGGCCAGGGGTTCATTTGGACCTTAATTGGTCCGAAGTTCCCAATTTTGTGCAAGATTTTTTAAAATAGGAAATTAAGAGGAAAATAATTTAATCAAAAATAGTTAAATAAATTATAAAAATGTTATTTATGCAAATTAATACTTTAAAATAATAGTAGAAGATTATAAAAACATAAGATATTATTTTGACCTTGAATAAAATGACAAATGCAATAAAAATTGTAAAATATAGGCTATATTTGCAAGATTGTGCAAATAGCTTAAAACTACTAATGTAATTATATAAGAATAAAGTAAAAATATTTGAAATGTGTATTATAGATACAAAATAATAATTTTAGGTAATTAAGTCATCACAAAATAATTTGAAGGAGTAATTAATAAGTATTCAAGTAATTTAAATGCAAGAAAAAATCAATTACAAAGCTCAAAAAATTATGAAAAAACGTAGAAAATGCATGTATAGATTTTGTAAGCTAAATAATGATGCAAAATGATGTTTTGAAAGGTATACTATTTGAAAAAATATGAGGGCAAAATTGGGTATCAACAATCGTGAGCTAGGTCCTGTCTTTAAAGACGGTTGGCATCAGCAGTCATGGCATGAAGCTTAGCTTCATGTGTTTTCTCGCCTACCTTTAAGGGGTTTCTTCAGAACCTTATCGGGAACATTATATCATGATTTTATTTTATTCGGACTCGATCTTCCTCCTGTCTGCAATACAAGTATTGTGGAATCGTCATTCTCTTTAGGCATTGTTGCCATTGTTGAAGTAGTCGATCAACTTCATTATGGTCTACTGGTCGGGTGCAGTTTATAAGACATTCAATATTTAGCGTGGAACATGCATGCTTTTACAATACTATAGATATGGATAGAGATAGATAATATAAGTATAGATATAGATATAGAAATAAATATAAATGTGAGAAATTAGAATTGACCAAGGACAAAATTATGCAAACAAAGTACACACGCATACAGTTTCTAATACTGTTCCATTTTTCACACCAGAAAAGGATATAAAAGAATTCACTTCACCTTCCTTTACATTCACAGCACGTAGATTGTACAAAAAGTATTGAAAATCGTAAAACTGAGGGCCCTGAAGCTATCCTTTCTATGATAATGTTGCATGCTAGTTTTCACTTCTTTTTTCCTTTTCCCTTTTTGGGTTTCCTGGACTTATTCCCTTTCCCTGTCTGCTTCCTTTCAGCAACCTGATTATTGCTTTCAACATTGGTGGTGGCAGACGGCAACTCAATCTTCTCAACTTCACCGCACTCTGTGTTGCCTTTTTCCTCACAATCATTCTCTAGTGTGACGTTCTCATTGTTATCCTTGGGTACAATGCACTGAGTCAGTAAAGTTTCAAGCTTGGGCTTCCTTGACAGCAAGCTCTTCAATAGTTGCTCAGCGCTTGCTACTTCTGAATCACTGTATAGTATCAAGGCAACAATTTAGCAAGAGTTCTATACAAAAGTTGGACATCTTGCCTCAACACTCTAAAATATGTTTGTGCAAGCATGTCAATGAGTAGAAGTATACCAAGACCAAGTTGAAGAATATATATATTGTACTATATAGAAGTAGTTAGCACAAATAATTGGCTAACAGAACCTTATAAGGCTCACAACAGGAATAAGTCATTAGCTAAGGCAACAGTTTCAAACTAAAGATAATGTACTTCTAGCATGAAAGAATTTGCCAGAAATGGATTTTACACCCCTAGCATATATTTTGAACCCAAACAATTTCATCTTGACAACTACGATCCTGTCTGCCCCTTGCCATTCAAGTTAAATTTTGGGTAAGGGGTGGAATTCCATTTTTCTTGATCTAACAGCTAGCAGCACCTGCTGCCTGACATTCGGATAAAACGAACTCCTATTTCATAAATACAAGAAGCAGAACATATTCCAGAAAACAAAAATTGAAATACACAATCGTAAGAAACCAGCATACCTCGTTTCCAGCAATGAATGGAGCTGTTTCAGCTCCTGAAGCATAATGTGCAGTTCCTTAATCATGTCTTCACCAGCGTAAGGCTTCTTCACCGCAGGCAGAGTAATTGCAGCAGTCAAGAATTTGATATGCGTATTTATTTCCTCCTTAATAAATAACAAGTTTAGCAGTTTATAATAATAACAACAACAACAACAAATGTTATAGTTACAAGAGAACTAAGATTACCTTCACCTTCTGAGCAACAACTGATATATTTGCAAAAGTTCCATCATTTTCACTGCTAATGAGCTTCAAAAAATCAGATATTTCGTGAAATAGGGCCCAATTCATTTGTAGAATCTGCTCAGACAGAGGAGTGACTTCAGAAAATGGCATTATCAAACTCTTTGGTTGATTACCATAATTCGAGGGAGTAGTGAAAGGATTAGTCATGACTTTTGGAACAGTGGTATTAGGAGTTTGCAACCCAATTCTTGCCGGAAACAGGGAGTCAATAATGTCTTCTCTATTGCAGTTTGTTCCCAGCTGCACTGGAATGACATTAGAATACTTCCTGGTATCATTCTCACCCAGACTGACAAACAAAAGAGGATCACTAGCATTTCGAAAAGCTTCTCCAATTTCACTTGTCTGAAAGTAATTGCGCTTCATTCCTTGTCGAAGAACGCCATAGAAGTACTTTGGAAGCTGGTTCCTAACATCATTGTTACTGAGCACTTGGAAAAGAACATCATAGTACTTGCCACAGTTCACACACAGTAAGCACAGGATAACAACCAATCTCAAAACAAATAGCTTATAGTATGCATTAAAGCTAATCTTCGATCGCGAAATCCATTCAACAGTACCAACTTTATCGAAAATGAATTGTTTCACCATCAAAAGAATGGAATGATAAAAATTTTCCAAAGACTGCGAGTTGATTGCAAGCCTGGAAGTGGGTAAGACCTCAGATTGTTCAGAAATAAGCCATTCCACCAATGAAGATCTTGTGGTGAAAAAGGATCCCCGGCGCTGCGACACCAAGATCAAAAAGCGCTCAACAAGATACAGGAAACAACCCGGGGATATGTAGTCATTTAGTCTGATCCAATTTGCATTGAAGGTATCTTGTAAAGCTTCATTAAATTTCTGAACAAATACAAGCTCCAGAACTTCACTTGGGTTATTTAAAGACTTTTGAGAGCACTCAAGATCACTATTGCTTGATGAAAAAGCTTCATGAGACTCCAAAGTTTTGCCTTCACAAATGGCATTGACAGACACAGATTCTTCCGTGCGTTCTGTTGATTTCTTGCAGCCGAGAATTTCCATGAATGATTTCCATGGTTCTGTTGGAATTCTTCCAACAATTTTCTTGTATAGATCTTCAGAATGTCCTCCAGATGCAAGCAATATCATGACCGTCCTTCCAATTTGTCCATAGCTCAAAAGACCTTTGCTGTTAGTATCTTGAAGGATGAATTCTTGGAGCAAGTCACTGGAAAGCTCTGTTCTCCTTAGAGAAATCATATTCTCAACCATTGACTGCCGGGGGTCGAGGGGGAAAACATTGTCAAAATATTTGAAGGACTGCATCAAAAAGTTCCGTATTCTCCACTCAAAACTCTTAGAATCAAGGTGTTTGGACTCGTTCAAAAATTTTGCAATCTCATATATATTTAGAAGGCATATGCTTTGCTGGAATAGAGTCATTGAAGTTGCAGTCAACTTATAGAGGGATTCCAGAGTTTCCAGAACTTTCAAACCTACAAGGAGTAATTCTGAATGCCAGTGATTTCGAGCGGCATAAATAAAATGCCGGGAATCAATAAATACCATCTTTTTGCTCCGTCTAATGAAACTTGGGTTAATTTTTTTAACCCATTCGGCTGCTGGATGCAACAGAACATATGTAACATTAAGATCATTCAATTGCTGCCTTGCACCAAAGTAATTTAGGCAGAAATCACAAAAATTCCTATTTTCACCAAATTCTTCAACATCAAGGACATCAAGAGATTCAAGAAGACCAATTATATTCTTCTTCCACAAATTCCAAAACAGAAGCAGTGTCCTGATACTAACCTGGCTGCATGAAATCAGTTCTTCCGAACTTTGTATATTGACGGATTCCATATCATGCCAATCATACTTTGCTGCATTACTTTCAAAATGAACATCCAAGTTTTTTCTACAGCACAACATTTCAGCAATTAGACACTTGCATTTCTGAGACGCAATGAACAGGTGCTTCACGGTAGACCAGTCACTTGACTCATTTGATAAAACTTTAACCACAATGTACATGGCTTGAAAGTTGGAGCCACGCCTCGCAAATGAGATTAACCTTTGCAGAAGTTCCTCCTTTTGTGTGAATGACTTTGGAGGCCAACCTTTACTTCCTGGCACCCATAGGGAGTTAGAGAGAACATATAAAAGGATGAGTGAAGATGCCTTGTCAAAATCCCGTGCCTTCCCAATTAAATCCGCTTCACGAAGAATATTTCCTTCCAGCCATGCAATTTCTGCAGCTTCAGTGAAGTTTCCTAATTCTTCTTCTAACAACAGCAGCTCATCAAGACACTCCCGAGACTTCAAAAATTTGCGTTTCATATCCATTGAAGGGAATGCTTTAACAAATTTCATCATGGATTCTCTGTCGTTGAGCTCACAATAATTAAATGCACAATTCTCCAGGAACTCCATCTCAATTTTGTCAATTCCAGGAGCTTCTTTCCCTGCAGTATTGCCCTTGCCAGCATATTGCTTCCAGTACTCAACATATTTCAAACCCAAGTCGAAACATTTTCCTTTCGTGCAAACTAACAAGCACTCAGCGAAATAATTGCCTTTTGCATAAACTCCTGCTGCCTGCTCATAGCATCCAGCCAGTGTAAAACACTCAGCAGCTTTTGCCAGTTCAGGTTTTCCACACTTCTCCAAATAAATTTTACCTGTGGATAAGTTTACAGGTTAAACGGGAGAACACAAAAAAAACAGATACGAAAACATTCTTTAGTCTTGATATAGGCTACCATGATGCAAAGCAAGACTGCAAAAGGAAATCTGTAGTTATTGTTGAAAATGGCAAACTCCCACATCGGTGGGAGACTTAATTTGGGAAGAATTTCTCCCTATAAAAGAAGGCCTAATATTTAGGATTTAAACACACCTCTCATTTGCCTTCTTATCTTCTTAAGGCATTTGTATCTTCTCTCTTTAGTATTATTTTACTTGTATTTTTGGAGTGGAATAAAATATTGGTTGTGTCCGAGGAAGTAGGCAAAATTGGTCGAACCTCGTAAATTTTGGTGTTCCTTTTATTGTTACTTTATTATCTTATTTATTATTTGGTGGCTGTCATAATTTTTGGTATAGTAGTTGTGACTCATTCACACTATATACATTTGGCTTCCGCAACAATTGGTATCAGAGCCAAGG